AATGCGGACTCAGAGGGCCGCCATATTCCCCCATAGTGGAGGGATCAGGGAGACTGAGGGGGGGCGATCCCGCTACAAAAACCGGACCGACCCGGAGAACTGGATCCGGACTACAAATATGTTATAAAGAGGACCCGCCTCCTATATATGATACAGAGGACCCCGGCAGAGGCATGATGGGATTTGTACTTTTGCCACAGCTGTAGTGCTGAGGTTGCCTATCCCAGACCTCCAACAACGGCCTCCTCCATCACACAACACACGTCTCCGATATCACCGCTCACACCATGACCATAATAACACCACAACCGTCTCCTAGCAACACCACAACCGTCTCCTAGCAACACCCAAACCTTTTCTTAGCAACAACCCAACCGCCTCCAGCAACACCACAACCATCTCCTAGCAACACCACAACCATCTCCTAGCAACACCACAACCATCTCCTAGCAACAACACAACCGTCTCCTAGCAACAACACAACCGTCTCCTAGCAACAACACAACCGCCTCCTAGCAACCCGTCCCAACCAGGCCAGTCCTAATCATACAGTCATGGGAAAATCACAATGCCACCAGCTCAACAACATACAAAATAACCATCGCCATAAAACACCACTACCACCACCATCATCACTACCACCACCATCATCATCACTACCACCACCATCATCATCACTACCACCACCATCATCACCACTACCACCACCATCATCACCACTACCACCACCATCATCATCACTACCACCACCATCATCATCACTACCACCACCATCATCATCACTACCACCACCATCATCACGACCACCACCATCATCACGACCACCACCATCATCACGACCACCACCATCATCATCACCATGACCACCACCACGACCATCATCATCACCACCATCATCACCACCATCACTCTCATCATCACAATGACCACCACCATCATCATCATCACTACCATCACAACTACCACCATCATCACCATGACCATCATCATCACTACCACCATCATCATCATCACTACCACCACAACTACCACCATCATCACCATGACCATCATCATCACTACCACCATCATCATCATCACTACCACCACAACTACCACCATCATCATCACTACAACATCACGGTGAGAGTCTGGTTGTCAATGGGCCCCTGGCCCGGGCTCTATCACCACATACATGCCGCCCGGGGGCCACGTGTTGGGGTGTACCTCTTTCTCGGACATGTAGAGTTGGTCTCCTCGGATCACCACATAGCGGTTCTTCCAGATCTCTCGGAAAATCCCTTTCCCGCAGAACTTGCGTATCCAGCCCACTTTCTCCGGCTGGCTGGGCGGTTGGTTCCCATCCAGGGGGCCCTAAAGAGAAGAAAAACAGGTGAGCTACAGCGGGGCCACGTAAGGGGCCCGTTGACGCCCCCATATTCACGCACCTCACTCCTATGATTATACAGAGTACTCCATTGAAGAGAACCTGTCATAGAAAGGACACGGGGTGCCGCCATCAATCATCATCAGCTCCGTGCCTGGAGTCCACATATACATTGTATCCAGGCCACGGGGATGCGCCGAGCACACGCATCTGTTCATTGACAACACGCTAACACGTTTCAGCCAGTACGGCCTTAATCATGTCTATAGAGCGACGACTAAGGCCACGTCAGGCTGAAACACGTGGAGGCTCGGTTCTGCACCACGGATCCGTACGCTGCTATTGGACGGTGAAGGAAGACGGCTTCCAGCGGGAATCGTGTCCACGGGGGGGGAG